ATAGTGTGTGCGTGGTATTTTCAATGTTTCCCTATTGCGTTGTACATTATCAAGTTACATAATCATTTTGTTATCATTATTGTTTGCGGACGTTATTATTCCTTATGTTGGCATAAAAATAACGGAAAACAATGTTGAGGATCTACACAACATCCCAACAATTAAGCTGTCGATCTCGACAGACGTTCTCTTCATTCTCAACAAATTATTGCAAAGTAGAACAGTTCACTGCAAAGGTACAAAAAGCAATACAGATAATGAAAAAGGTAAAATTGTTGATTTCTTAACAAAGTGTAGAGATAACAAACAAGTTAAATTGCTCATTCTTTAAAAATGTACAAAAGACACTCCAATTCTATGGTTGTTCAAATTAATTTAACTGCACAATTTATCAACTTCTATCGCCATTTACTAAAATTTCTAATTTTAATCCCCACAAAATAAATTGTAATTAGTAAATTGTAAATGGTGGCCTAAATCAACACATAAATAATAAACACCCATAGTGTTAAATAGTATTACCACAGAGAGCAGAAGGAGGATAATTAGTAAAATTGGATTGAATTATTTTGAACAATTTAACCATGGAGTGCTTTTGGAACTTATTTAAAATATCAGCGAAGATGGCTCTTTTTCATTTTCTTCATTTTTATCATGCTTAGAAACTAAAATTTTCACTTAGGGTACATACTTATCGTAAAGGTATTTTCAACTTACGGTGTTCCCCCAACACATTATGAACTTACATTATTATCTTCAACTTACATCGTCATTACCATTCCATTATTGTCTATTGATGGGCAAACGTATGTTCAATTTCACTAGCAAAATACGAATCCATAGACAACATATTACATGGCATCTCGATAATTCATCTGCCATTCCCGACAGATTGTTTGTGTCATTCTCAATACTTGGATTAGAGTACAAAAACTACACTACATATAAGGGGAATAAGGGACATGCTCATGTTGAATTTTTGGTAGAGACATGACCAAAATCATTCCTGCAAAAGAAAGACTATGCATAACTTAGTACACTATATTTCATTAGTGTCCACTTTATTCGTCGTCGACAGCTAAACCTTCTCTCTCGCTTTCTTCATCTTACTCATCCAACGAGATGACAATTACCTCATTTTGTGGGACGTACGTTAACCACTCGTCGTCGTTGGAGTCATCAACCATGACCTCGAACACCACCCATCGAGCACACCATTTGGTGATTGTGCCCTTTCAGTCACAACTTCATCCAAGATGAAAAAAAGAACACGAAAATTGCTCTCCTACCAGTACGAGGGTTAAATTTCTTCCTCATCGTCTAAAGAAAATGTAGATTGGAAATAACGGGAATGAATCAGGAACTACCAAATGCTCGTTCAGGTTGAGCGATTCATTGCTTCCCGTGGATGAACTCATTATGTCAATGCAATGCAATTGCTTAAAGGAAAATTCTATGCCTGTGAGATGTTGACAGTCTCACAATACTCATGAAGTGTTTATGTGTAACTGATAATGAAGGCGTGCTATTTATAATCAACTTGAAGGGAGAAAGCAATTATGGTCATTTACTATCCAACACCAATTCCAATCTCATCTAAATATGAAAAGCAGTTGGTGTGATGGTTCATCTACATAAGCATACCTTTATCCTCCATTTCTCCATAATTGTTAGGATATTGTGACTCTTAAATAATGTGTACAATGAATTTTTCAAGTTTCCTGCAACTTTCATTAACTCATTTATAAATTAGTTGTAGCATGATTGTTATAGCTTTGGCATATTTAAATAGCTCATCATCTTTACCCAATCAGAAAATATGAATGACTTTCTCATTGATCCAAAAAGAAGGAATTACGATCACCATAAACTAAATGTGAACAAATGATACGCTCATGCCTTCATTGCAAAACAAATAATAATGTACATAACCATTCATTATTTCCTAACCCCACACAGCTTATCTTCAGTTATCGCATTACAACATTCAAACTAAGAAACGCGATACCAAATTTAAGCACATGGATAATATTGCCAACATGTTAGGCGGGTGCAAATGTGCAATATATGTTGAAAAAGTATCCAACGGCCCAAAATCCCTTCAACATGATGGATTTTAGCCAAAAGTTGTAACGACAGTTTGCTCAATTTTCAAGAAACGTTACATAAAATTCATTAGTGGACGGGCATATTACACAGTAACGGAATATTTAAGATTTTAGTGTTTATGCCCACATTGATTATTATGTCCAATTATCATGAAAATGAGTCTATTTTTTTTATTTTTTTTTTAAATGCACGCCTAAGATAGCATTAGACAATTAACAAAATAGTTGATTGCCTTTTCACATGCCACGGCCATAGATGGGGACAAAACTTCGTACCTAGGCACACTTTTAGAACGTGGACGGGCATATTACACAGTAACGGAATATTTAAGATTTTAGTGTTTATGCCCACATTGATTATTATGTCCAATTATCATGAAAATGAGTCTATTTTTTTTATTTTTTTTTTAAATGCACGCCTAAGATAGCATTAGACAATTAACAAAATAGTTGATTGCCTTTTCACATGCCACGGCCATAGATGGGGACAAAACTTCGTACCTAGGCACACTTTTAGAACAATAAGTACAATCATCGATAGGATCAAGGTAAATAATCCGATTATGTCTAGTGTAGGATATTAAACATATCGTGAAAGTAATTCATCTTATTGGAGACAGGGCTAGTGCATTGGGAATGGATTTGGAATGGCTACCGAATGGCGAGGTTAAGGCCATTTTGGGTCTAAGAACCTTGCCAAGGGTGTTTGATGGAAGAAAGATGTTAGGCAATTTGTTGTCAAACGACCTCCCCCGAGCTATGATGTTACTCGGTCTATTTTTTAGTCAGTTTAGCCAAATGACTGAACGAGAATCCAACACCACATTCAAGACAATACGACCCAAAGGTTAATTGGGCCACTCGAAGCAACCTAAATATTTTAGTGTTGCTCGTGGCCCAATCCACTTCCTTGGATAGCCACTAATTGAGATAACAACTTGTGAGCCCCTTTATCTATCTCTTTGGCCTTTAACTTAACCCATTGGTTAACCTACCTATACTTATCTTATTTGAGCCATTTGGTTACAAGATAAATTGGTCTCTTTCTCTCTAAGTGAGAGACGCCTCACTGCCTCTCTCTCTCTCGGCCGATTTCACGTGTTCTTCTTCCTCTACTCTTTCTGCCTCTTTGTGACCACTACTTTAATGGTGATATTGTGTGAGATTTCTTACACCTTTGTGGTCTCCTAAATGAGATATCTCATTGGCAATCGGAAGTGGAAGCTTGGAATTGTCTTGGATCGTCGTTGTCGGCTTGTGGTTGTTGGAAGTGGGTAAAAATTGAGTCTGGGTTATCTTTGATGTTCAATACATCATCTACAAAAGGGAAGGAGAATGTGGTTCAACACCATGGTTGGAATGCACGGAAATGAGCATAGCTCGGCGGCAATGTCTAATGGAACCAAAATACCTATCAAGCTTGTTAAGAGATGTGAATAGATTATTGAAGAAGAAAGCATCCAATTTAGATGGCTGAAGGGTGATGTACTCTTTTTGGATAACATGGCTTTGCTTCGTGGAAGAAGACCATCTCGTCCACCTTGAAAAGTCTTGGTTACTACATGCAAATAAGCTCAATATCAATATCAGTGACCTATTAAGCAGGAAAGGAGCCAGGAATTCTTGTAACGGTGGGCTAAAAATTTTAAAAATTAGATACCATGCTATTAGATACTCGCCATCAAGGGCCACCTTAATTCTAGTAGTCGTAGTTTCAAACCTCATATCCTGTATCAAATCCACTCTACGCCCTTCGCTGATAATCTAGAAGTAGACCCAAAATGAAACGGATCATTTACAATAACTTACGAGGAGTAAAATTAACATCAATATTAATCTCTTTTAAACTTTCAAAAAGCATATTAGCATCCAGTAAATTAAAATGAAATAAAGTCAAAACCCAACCTTTATCCCAAAACTAATTAAACGAACACAATATTTTTCAAATAACCATTTTAAGCATCAAGCCACCTCCAGTGATCGATAATATTTCAAATTTGAAACAAAAAAGTCTGCATTTTACCAAGAAAAAATAGTTCATAAAAGAAAAGGTAATCCATTGTACCAGGATTTTTATGGAGAAATCTGGATGCGATTACTCAATTTTTTTCACCAATCACCCTATTACTAGTAAAAACTAGCAAGAACAATTGAAGAAATCTTTAAATTGCTATACATAAAACACATAATTATTCTCGAAAAATTACTCTACTTTGAATCCTATATAAAAAAAAGGGCTTTAGTAAAACTAATTAATCAAAATACACAAATTCAATTTAACATTCAAATTTGAAGAAAGGGTCACAGACTCATCGTCATTCACTGCAATCAGTAGGGCGTAGACCGACAGTAAGTCAGCAATCGACTGTTTCGTTCGGTGCAACTATTGGCAGGGGCCAAGTGAAAAGATTTAGGGATTTTGATTTTTGGGAATTATTTGAATTAGTTTTGCAAAGGAAAATGAGAATGGCCGAATGGAAAAGAAAGGGGATTATACACGTTAATCAGAATAAGAAAATGGGTAATGGACTAACTAATGAGTATTATTATTGGGCCTAAAATTATATAAAATTAGTGGGCTACAGATTAAATATTTTTTTTAGGTGGGTTACCCATTGAATTTACTTGTTGGTGGGCTAATGTGGTTAAATTGAATACAATTCAAACCAAAAAAAAAAAAAAATTTGTTGCATCTGGGCCTGGGTGACAGTGGGCTGCAGCCAAATGCAGCCCAACATTGAATCCGCCCATGCTCGTCAATATCCCAACATCTACGAGTTGGAATATTTATGCTACTGTCAATACTACTGTAACAGGTTCAACTGCATTGGATAGGATTAAAAAGTGAAAAAAAGAAGTTAATATGTTGTTTTGTTCTGCAATACTATCTAATGGTGCGTAACAAACATGCTCTTGGTTTCAAAATGTCCTTTTACATAATCCAGCGATATCAGCTGTATCAAATTTTACATGCTTCTATCCATTGTCTCACTTTGATATCAAATGTAATCATCTGACCTTTGACAAACTCGAGCAATGTGGTGTTAGCAATACAAGTAATTTACAAGGTTCAACACAAAAAATCCCAACATGGAATCTATCAACCAACTTAACATTGTACCTACTCAAGCGATCAAAAGCTGATTCTAATTTGACGTCTTATTGGACTCAATTGAGAAACTTCTGTAAGTACGACGAGCACTTTTTAAGTGGTCCGAAGGAAGGCTTTCTAATATTTTGCTTTCCTTATAGATGAAAGCTAAAACCTGCATATGTTTGAAAGAAAAAAAGTTACCAGGATATCATCATGTCATAATTAATTGTGTCAATGTTATGAAAATTCTATCTATTTGTATGAAGAGAGTTAATGATTCATTCATCGATAGTTTGCGTCCAACATTATAAAATTACAAAATAAAAAGAATTAGTCAAAATAATAGTATAATTGTAACTTAATATTGACATGTTCCCTATATACGTAGAAAACCGTAAAATTTAATGTTGTATATACAAATATATATGCACTTCTCATACCCAGAATAGAATATGTAATGACAATTTTAAAGAAGTACCGAAGCAAATCTTTTGAACATAATTTTCAATTAAGATACCTGAGATGAACATTTCTACCTGGAAGTTGAATATTTGGTAGAAGAAACTGCACATTTATGATATGATAGCCATATACAAGAATCGAGAAAGGCAGATTTATGCATCTTATTTGGGTAAATTTGGACATCCTTATTAAATAGATAACTCTTGGTCTTCAACTGGTTTTGACCCGTTAACAGTTTGACAGTTCAACCGGACATTCTGAAACAGATGAATGTAACCATCAGATTACTACACACGCAAGTACATACGGCATCTTAATCTCTGTAAAAATTGGTACCTCTAGCAGGGAAATGTAATAGAAATCCTCCATATGCTGCATTAGTGCAGCAATAGGGTAAAAATTTTGCACCAGCCGTCCATTGACTAAATTACTACTCATTTAGGGTTCGGCTTATAAAATTGTAATTTAAACTGTTGAGTAAGATTTATAAACTTGATTAATGGGAGGGGCCAAAATATATCTATCTCTTGGTTTAATACATTTGTGGCGACCAATGATATGTAATATGGATGATACGATGGCTAGGTGGACGTTTTGGCCATCTATATCTCGCTTTTATTTGAAGCTGTAAACTTGAAAATCAAGTACCTCCTATATTCATAATATTTATTTCAATATGAAGATCAATGTTCCTATCAAATTCAATAATCTCGCCCAGTTAGATTTGATGATATCCTCACATGTGACCTGATAATATCCCTATCTGAATGCGAACATATAAAAATGTATTAAATCACAAGAACATTTATTGCATTTTGAAAAGTATAGATAGTTATTTCTAATGTCTATAGGGTCTTACAATGATTTATACTTGTGTTTAGTTATGTCTATTAATTAGTGGTCAATTAATTGAAAAACATTAAAGTTCGAAGAATCATTCAAACCAAATAAATATTTAATTGCCCAAGTGAATTTAATATCAAAAGTTTAAAATATAGGATTCAACATTATCCTAACATAACCAATCATCGAAAATACAAAAAACAGCTTGGAACAATACAATATCATTCATAATTGAAAGATTGGGAGTAAAGACAGCAAAATATCTTGAATCTTAAATTCTTTTAGCGGTTCATGAGTTATCTCCTTAGATGTCTTTCTTATCCTTATTCAACTTCAAGCAATAATGTATGAGAAGCTGACGTGGATGTGTCTTGTATCAAATATTTTTTCTAAACTTTACAAAGAAAATAGATTTGGATCTCCAATTGCTTCTTTTCATAAAGAATAGTGTTTATTGTACTGTCAAGGAGCATCCTAAGCTTTCTCCTTCAATTGTAGATGATGAGGTTATTATAAACTAAGAACTAGGTCCAAAAGCATGCTTTAGATGCTTTCAAAAGATTATTTGCTCTCTGAAATCGCGAATTTTTGGTGTTGCGATGTGATCAAGCACCAGTTTTTTTTCCATCTTCAAGTTGGTCTCTGACTTCTCCTCTTAGTTCGACCTAAGTCTTTGTTGAATTTCATTTCTAGTCCTTCATCTAAAACTATTTATAATTTGGTCATCCACATTCCATAATTGACGGTAATTAATCCGATGCACGTTTCAAAATTTTGCAATTAAGTTCACAAACTTTTCAAATGTTGAATTTAGCTCTCAAAACTTGTGAATCACATTTGGTTGCCCTCTAGTACTTCTAATGGACCAAATACAATCCAATTGACCTTCAATTTCCTTGAGTCAACTCCAATTTAGCCCCTATCTCACTTAATGCCTTTATCTATAAGTGCTGAATAGTCACACACCAACTACATGATAGATAAAAGTGTGCAATTTATGTCAATATCCAAGAGTCCGAACATATGTATTTTGTTGCAATTTTTGGATTGTGATTTCATTCCAAATTACATATCACAACCAAGTCATAATTTTATGTCAAAAATAATGTTTGCCAGTCTAAATCTAAATCGATTGTGACAAAGGCAATCCAATAACATTAATTTTTATTCATTTGCCAACAACAAAATTGAATCCATAGTACAACATAGACCCCATCTTTAATTGAGAAAATGAACATCGTACTATCTAGTTTCCACTGATATTGTTTGATAGAAAGGAACATCATTTTTGGCATGTTTGACATAACAATAAACAAATATTGTTTGGCCAATATTTATTAATTGTTTAAAATTGGTCAAATCACCTTTGATCCTTATATTTCATAGAATTCACAACTATTATTCACTTATTTTTTACCTATTTTTGTTTATTTATAATTTAAATCATTTAGAAATACTAGCCAAACATGGGTTGAATGTTTAGCGCAATCATTAACTTAATTGATTAGAATAAGATGATCCAGGTTATTATAAAAGTATGGGAAATTTTCATAAATGTTACTAAAATTGAAAATGCATAAAAAATTCCCATTTGCACCAATTTCTTCCAAAAATGTCACTTTTTGCTGCAAAATGTTCATTTTACCCTTTGTGACACCTTTTTAGGAGCAATAAATGCTTGATTTGAATGCAATTAATGATGTGATGTGATGATTTATTTTGTATATTTTAAACATTTGAGATATGATTATTATATGAATACTATGAATTTTTGTTTAAAAAAAATGGTGAAAAGTTAAAAAAAAACACACACACAAACATGTATGAACACAAACCCTACATTTTTCTTCACCCTTTTCATTCGATCATCAACAAGGGAAAGCTATTGGATTGATCATTCATTTCAAATGTGAGCTTATAGAAATTCTTTATATTTTCATATCATATTTTACTATTTTAAATGTTTAATATAACATGATCATAACTTTTTGAATCTCTTATTCATTGATGTGTTTCATTTTTGATATATTTTTTGAAGATGCCTTTAATACCAACATATTGTGATGAAGCATTGGGTTTTTTTTTTTTTTTTATGACGAGAAAACCCGTAATCGCTACCCTTCGAGTGCGCATTAGGTAAATTCTAGGGCTGACACAATAGCTTGCAAACTACGTCAGTCAGGTAAATCGCACTAGACAAGTCCAGTGCGACAGACTTGACTGAGAAAGTATTGATATGGAGAAATGAATAATACCTCAATGAAGCATTGAGTTATTTCTTATTTAAATGAAGCGTTGAATTATCCTTATTCAATTTGAGGAAGATATTGTGATATTGTAGTTGAGAATTGATTATCACTATTAATGTCTTTAATAATTTTTTCCAAAGAACCAAATGTAGGGTTTCGAAGCTACCCCGAAATTTATGGCACTTTAATTGTCGAATAGTGTCGTCGAAACCGTCAGGTTAGACATCTAAATTATCGAACTCGACATTTACTAACTATCGGGATAAACAATTTAACTGTCGATTTCGACACTTGAAAATTGTTGAAACCCTTTATTTCTCTTTCTGCTATTGCATAGATCTAAATATTTGAAAACTCCAATTTAATGATATTAAATGTCGACAGATTGAATGTGCAAAATTCTCACCTTTGTAATCCCAACATTTCAAGTCTGTGTGATCATTTAAGATTCATCATGTCACATAGGAAAAATTTGTTCACATGGATGACGAATGGAAGTTGAAAAGGGATAAAACCATTTCCATTTTAGCACGGCAAATTATTGCCGTACTCGAACTTATGTTATGATTGAAGGAAAAACTTGATATTGTTCAGCCCTGCAGTAAAATTGGATTGAAGTTCAAAGTCCTGAACTTGAATATACCTTCGACAGGAATACTCGAAGATGAAGACTTAAATTGATACATATCTGTTCATAAGGAAATTACACTCTGCGATAGTATTTGGCAACCAAGCTCCCGAGTGTCGACATGGGGTTGGATGCAAACAGTGTAGCAAAGTTGTTTACCTCTGCGGATGTTCCCCCAAAATGTACAACATGATGACCTCAATCATCAGCACAGTGTGTCGAACAATAATGCACATGAACCTCCAATTGATGATATCAAGTCTGAATTATATGTACTCCTATTTTGCCACCCTTCATACATCGTCATCCAAGTGGACCATCGATAAGGCGTAAGCGTGCCAGATACAATTCTGTCACAGGACTTAGGAAATCCACTCGCTATGATCGAGTTGATCATAACTGGACAACATGTTTAAACCCCAACATAACATAAATTTCTTAGACATACACTCTATGACATAGTGTGTGCGTGGTATTTTCAATGTTTCCCTATTGCGTTGTACATTATCAAGTTACATAATCATTTTGTTATCATTATTGTTTGCGGACGTTATTATTCCTTATGTTGGCATAAAAATAACGGAAAACAATGTTGAGGATCTACACAACATCCCAACAATTAAGCTGTCGATCTCGACAGACGTTCTCTTCATTCTCAACAAATTATTGCAAAGTAGAACAGTTCACTGCAAAGGTACAAAAAGCAATACAGATAATGAAAAAGGTAAAATTGTTGATTTCTTAACAAAGTGTAGAGATAACAAACAAGTTAAATTGCTCATTCTTTAAAAATGTACAAAAGACACTCCAATTCTATGGTTGTTCAAATTAATTTAACTGCACAATTTATCAACTTCTATCGCCATTTACTAAAATTTCTAATTTTAATCCCCACAAAATAAATTGTAATTAGTAAATTGTAAATGGTGGCCTAAATCAACACATAAATAATAAACACCCATAGTGTTAAATAGTATTACCACAGAGAGCAGAAGGAGGATAATTAGTAAAATTGGATTGAATTATTTTGAACAATTTAACCATGGAGTGCTTTTGGAACTTATTTAAAATATCAGCGAAGATGGCTCTTTTTCATTTTCTTCATTTTTATCATGCTTAGAAACTAAAATTTTCACTTAGGGTACATACTTATCGTAAAGGTATTTTCAACTTACGGTGTTCCCCCAACACATTATGAACTTACATTATTATCTTCAACTTACATCGTCATTACCATTCCATTATTGTCTATTGATGGGCAAACGTATGTTCAATTTCACTAGCAAAATACGAATCCATAGACAACATATTACATGGCATCTCGATAATTCATCTGCCATTCCCGACAGATTGTTTGTGTCATTCTCAATACTTGGATTAGAGTACAAAAACTACACTACATATAAGGGGAATAAGGGACATGCTCATGTTGAATTTTTGGTAGAGACATGACCAAAATCATTCCTGCAAAAGAAAGACTATGCATAACTTAGTACACTATATTTCATTAGTGTCCACTTTATTCGTCGTCGACAGCTAAACCTTCTCTCTCGCTTTCTTCATCTTACTCATCCAACGAGATGACAATTACCTCATTTTGTGGGACGTACGTTAACCACTCGTCGTCGTTGGAGTCATCAACCATGACCTCGAACACCACCCATC